TTGAGCGAGTTTTTTAGCGCTAGGCGAGGCAAAATTTTTGCGTTAAAATGTATCACTAGGCGGATTTAACGTTATGTGATGCCATCGTTAGGCGAGGGTCCACTGTATACCCATTCTTCATTTATTCACACTTCCTACAATTAATATATTCACCACTCACTTTAAAGCTATTTATTTTTATATTTATTTACTAATACATCAACCATTACCCACCAAGGCAGCATGGCCCAAAAAAGAAAAACTCTCATTATCATTTGCTCCATCACTCTCTTGCCAGAGGCATGCTTACACAAGAGTTATAAAATGGCAACATTAAGCCCTTCAGGGTCCAAGGCCAAAATCTGAAGTGGTGCTCCAGTGTCCAAGAAATTAAAAAAAAAAAAAAAAAAAAAAAAATCTTACAGAATTAAAGAGCATATTTTTGTGAAGGTAATAAGACAAAAAGAAAAATTTCTGATCAGTATTACCGAGATACAGTGCCGAGAAGTTTGTCCAAAATGAGCTGGTGGCAGCAACATCGACGATTTCCACATACGCGCATTACTTTGTTTAGCAGTTTTTGTAGTTTTTTCTTTTCTTTTCCAATTTTTTTCTTTTCCTACTAACATTTGGGGCCTGAGAGACCAATACTGTATATAATGTATATATATAAAGTCACTGTATTGAACACAATAACTGCACTAAAGTTATTATCATATTATTGTTTACCATTGTTGTTTATTACAATAAACATGTACAAATCTTGTATAATACTAATGTTCTATCATATATTTACAATCACTGGACATGGTTTTAGAACTGCTGGAGCTTGTGGAACTCCTTGAAACAAGGCACCATGCACAGAGGTACCTTACATTCCTCACACATAAACCGAGTGTCTTTGCGTCTTTGTTGCCGTTGTTTTGTTTGTGCACAGACAATGCATCTCTTCTGAGCAAATTTCTTCTGAGTTGAAGGAAGCTGTATTATGAAATGATCACCTTCCCTCCTCAAACACTTGGGTATATCCTGAGGAGTTCGAGGACCTTGTTGTATAGCAGGTGTTATCTGGTACTTCATTATGAGTTGTCTGACAACAGACAAACAAAATTCACATACTGTGGTCTGTTGCCAGTCTTCATTTGGTACATATTATATGCATTGAGCATTGAAATGTCCATGAGATGGAAGAAAAGTTTCATGTACCACTTGTAACTTTTACGAACACAATCAACAAAAGCAATCTGCATATCACATTTGTCAACCAAGCGCATGTTTTGTGTATAATCAATCACTGTCACTGGTTTTCAAATACATTCATTAGTCACTCGATCAACTTTGCCACTGTCTTGCATTTCATTACGGTGAATGGTTGTCAACAATGTGACATCTCGTTTGTCATGCCACCGTAATGCCATGATGTCATTGGCAGTAAACACCTGCACGTCATCATCACGAGCACCTGCGTTGAGCCTGGGCATATGTTTACGATTAGAACGCACTGTGCCACACACATCTGTCTTGTTCACTCGCAAGAAATCACTGAGTAATGGGCTTGTGTACCAGTTATCGGTATATAATGTATGCCCCTTACCAAGATAAGGTGCCATCATGCTTCTCACTATGTCACCTGAGATACCCAATAACATCTTGGTATCTTTCAATGTTTTACTTCCCGTGTATACAACAATATCCAATACCAGGCCACTGTCACAGTCACAGAGTACAAACAGTTTTATACCCAAGCGTTTCCTCTTGCTCGGTATATACTGCTTGAATGACAGCCTACCTTTGAACAAAATCAACGACTTGTCAATTACAAGATTCTTGAATGGATAAAAGTATATGCTGAACTTTTGTTTGAGATACATAAAAACATTTCTAATCTTGTATAACCTGTCACTTCTGTCAGGCCTGGTTTTGTCAGAGAAGTGCAACATACGTAACAGTAAGATAAACCTGTTCACTGGGATGATTTCACTGAAGACCGGGATAGAAATTAGCCGATCTGTGGACCAGTATGCTTTTATATTATGCTTATAGACATGAGGCATAAGCATTATTGTTGCAAAAAGCAAATACATTTCTGCAACAGTCGTCTCTTTCCACCGGTGTAGTCTTGACTGTGGTGATATGATCGTATTTGCCATGGTGTACTCAAAATACTGTACTTATTACTTTCCCTGACAATAGTTTCCATCAATGGCTGGTCAAGAATAATTCAAAGAATTCTAGTTCATTGGCCGTGGTTCCAAGGGGACAAGTAGGTAGAATTCCACTTTGAGTCATCAAAGTGGTGGGGCTTGGAAACAAAATTGGGATTTTGCTGCCAATCCCAGATAAGGTTTGCTGGTGGATACTGGACATCATAGGCTGGTTGTGCGGGTAGTTGTGGTTGTGGTGGGCTGGGGGCTGACACTCCGCTTTGTCCTTGAACTGAGGAGTCAGCAGCATGGGTCCCAGCCTGGGCTGGTGAGTCACGCATGGCCGTGGCACTACCATCACCACTACCACCATCTGCTGATGCCTGTGGTCTATCCATGCCAAGTGTAGCCACATCATCCTCACTATCACTATCTATACCTGGTGTAGGACCATGGGATGTACTCCGGGATGTACTCCGGAATGTACTCTGTCCCATGGGCACAGCATAGGGTACACTACCCGAGCGCATGCAGCGGCGTACGTACCGACGCTTCACTGGTGAATATGATTCCTCGCTATCACTACTTGAATGATCGTCAAGAGCAATAAAATCACAATCCACGTCACTATCATCATCATTACTGAAGTCAGAGGCCTGGCCACGCAAAAATAATAGTTTTCTCTTGCGTTGAGGTACAACCGACTGTGACTGAGGAGTGCCCACACCAGAGGTAGAAGGTTGAGGATCGTCAGGGTTTTCTGCACTATTATTGATATCCTGGTCATTCCTTTCGGTCACTAACTGATCAAAGCCAAAGAATTCGTCTTCATTTCCACTTCCATCAGTGTCAGAACTATCAGATAGGAAGAGGAGAGTCCCAATTTTCTGTGGAGTGAGAGCTGCCTTGCGACGAGGCATGGTGAACAAGGGTAACTGAGCTGGCGTACCCACAATGCTATGCGGGCGCCTACATTTTTTGTTTATGGCACACACCCACCACACAGACCCATTCTCTCACATGTAGGCCTATGAACATTTTCGCGCTAAATTTGACGGCGCTAGAATTTTGGCGTAGATCTACGGTTTGGACACTCAACGTGAAGCCGTAGATCTACGGGACGGACCCTGAAAGGGTTAACACCCCTCCTTCAGGGTGCTGGCACTGTACTTCCCATCTCCAGAAATCAAGTCCGGCCTGCCAGTTTCATTAAATCCCTTCATAAATGTTGCCTTGCTTACACTCCAACAGCATGTCAAGTCCTAAAAAACCACTCGTCTCCATTTGCTCCTATCTAACATGCTTATGCATGCTTGCTGGAAGGCCAAGCCCCTCACACACAAAATCCCCTTTACCCCCCTCCCTCCAACCTTTCCCAGATTGATCCCTACCCAGCCTTCCCTCTACTACAGATTTATACACTCTTGAAGTCATTCTATTTCATTCCACCCTCTCTACATGTCCAAACCATCTCAATAACCCTTCCTCAGCCCTCTGGATAATAGTTTTGGTAATCCTGCACTCCTAATCTCCAAACTATGAATTCTCTGTATTATATTCACACCACACATTGCCCTCAGACACATCTCCACTGCCTCCAGCCTTCTTGTTGCAACATTCACCACACATGCCTCACACCCATACAAGAGCATTGGTATAACTATACTCTCATACATTCCTCTCTTTGCTTTCATGGATAAAGTTTTTTGTCTCCACAGACTCCTCAGTGCACCATTCACCTTTTTCCTGTCAATTCTATGATTCACTTCATCTTTCATAGACTCATCTATAGGCTAAGAATGAAAATATGTATATGATTCACATTACAGTAATTTTTGACCTACAATGGTAACCCAAAACCTAACCTGCTGTGTAAGCAGGGCCCTCATGTACTTGTAGAAATAAAGATTATTATTATTATGTAGGAGATATAGCAGAAACATGTTTTTGGCTCGATTAGTAGCAGCCGCCGCTCTCACTCTGATTAATTGGAGTTTGATCCCCAGCTGAGTGGAAATGATGGGGATATTTCCTTATACCTGCTACTTGTTCATCTAGCATTAAGCTGATACCTGGATGCTAGCGACCGGTGAGATTCATATCCTGGGAAGAGGTTTAAAGGACCCCAATGAATTTTCATAACTCTCCAGGTTAAAAAAGTAAGCTAGCTGCGTTGTGGTTCGTACATCAGGTTATGTGCGACCGACAGTAACAGCCCGGTTGATCAGGCCCTTGTCCATCATGATGCCTGGTCACAGACTGGGCCGCTGGAGAGTTGACCCCTGAAACCCTCTCCAGGTCTCCAGGTATACACATAAGTACAATTATCATAGTGTAAATTACCTAGGATAACCCAAAAAAGTTCCAAAAATCATTTGTCATCAATACACATTACTTTTGCGTCTCTTGAGTATATACTGCACATTTAATATTTAATGATACAAATATGAATAATTACAATAACTCCTAATACCTTTTTTTTTCGCAATGACCTAACCAATCAATACGAGTTATAATGTGATTATTAATGGTCCTAGGAACTACATAAACTTTTAACATACTATTTGCAGCAATAAACTACTGAAAAATTACACTTAAACACCAGGAATTAGTAAAAGTAATAATTTAGGTGAAAAAAAAGTGGGTGTGATACTTGTGTAGCCAAGACCACAGCCGCTCCACCTACTGCTAATTTATGCCTTAATATTCTGTTTTATAAACTCTAATTCGTTAGGACTACAAAAAGTACAGCTAGCATAAATTCAGCGATGGGATGAAGCATGCTGGAAGTGCTAACACTTCCAATTATATGCTTAAACTTATTGCATAAGAAAATATGGAATGTCAAAATGGCCCCGAGAGGTTCGATATATCTACCTTTGGTGCAGTGGTGGTGGTGGTGGTGACAGCGCTGCTTGTCGACGGAGCATCCATCTTCGCTTTACCTAGTTTCCACTTATCCTAGGGTCACTTTCAACGTCCCTGTAACACACAGTCACAAACGCCACTTTCAGCTAACATCTTAAGATATAGCAGGTAGCCATTTCGCTACGCTGTTTCAGAACCTTGGTCTTTATCCGCGTACATCTGAGAAATCTAAATTTGTTACACCATGAAACCTATATCTTCATGACCTGTGTGTATTGGGGTATATTTATTGATAAAAGCGGTACATAAAACACTTCTTTGAGCAAAGTAATCACATTTTAAAAATTCCAGATTTTCCTGCCCTTGTACATCTGCTCCATGAAGGAGGGCTCTGAGCTTTGAAGGGATTCTTACTTCCTTTCCTAATATTTGTCGGTCAAAAACGAAATCAGTGTTAGATATATTACTTAAGCTTTCAAGGTTAAATATTTTAAATAATATATCAACGTTTTATATATACCATATAAGATAGGTAATTATTTATTTCGAGTTACACAATAATTTCGTTTCACCTCTCCCTTCATTGCTCTCAAGGAGGATCCAGTTACCAACATGGTTGCCAAGATGGGGTTAAATTGCATTAACAGTGACAACTAAGTAAAGTATAAGGATCACAGCAACGTGTGGCATTAGATACTACTCTTACTTGTAAACATTGACAACAAGATGTTCAGGAGGTTACTGTGTACTTTCAACACATTGTCTTCACATACTGCAACACCTACACCATTATTACGGGTACGTACGTTTTCTGGTAATTCTACACATCACTTCGACCTTTTTTTCTTTAGGTTATACTTGGTAGTTTACACATTGTTATTATGTTAAACAATTATGATTATCAAAAAAAAAAATTACAGTTGTACCCAAAATAAACTTTAAATTTATTTACTTTCTGTTCCTTCTTAGTAATTTCTCAAGGTAGCGACTATGTCAGTTATATAAATCATGTTTTGATGGTAATCTTTGGGTAAATTGTTATAATTTACCACTTTACCCTTGTGGGTTTAACGCATAGTTTTAATTGTAATAATACCACCACTGTGCCTTTAATAATGTGCATTATGAAACCATTGGAGGATTCTACAATAGTGTTGTTGATATACACCAAAAAAACTACTAAAGCTTGTGGCTATAATTGGTAGCACCTTTGACACAGCTGTGGGACCTGGGTTTAATCCTGGTACAAGAATGTAATATGTTAGGCATGTTTCTTTGTACTTGTTGCCTCGTTTCACTTAGCAGTAAGTAGGTATGTCATTAGATGGCTAGGATGTGACCCACACCAGTCACCTAATACCCAGGTACCTACTTACTGTTAGATGAGTAGGCAGAAATCAAAGCCCAGTCCCTCAGTGGAAGCCAAGACCACTACCAATTGACATGGATTGAATCTTAGTCCCTCAGTGTGAACCGAGGCCACTGCCAATTAAACTGCACGCTGATGTTTGCAGGTCGCATCCTGGGAAAGATGAATAGATGGATGTAAGCAATACATAGTGGCTTTATTGGGTTATCCTGGGTTGCTAATCAATGAATAAGACATTTGGAAGACTGGTACCAAGTGTTGCAAATGTGTTATTCATCAGCTTGTCAGAGCGTATACTATCAGTAATATGGGTTACTAATCCGCCAGATTAAGAACCTGAGTAAATTTGTCTTTTTCACTAGTCTTTGTCCACTCTTGTGGCCCATAATAGAGCAAAAACATAAGAACATAAGGAAGAAGGAACACTACAGCAGGCCTACTGGCCCATGTGAGGCAGATTCAAGTCGCCTACCGGCTTATGCCAATGACCCAGTCTCGTTAGGTCCAGTTCACATCCACTTAAGAAAGGAGCACAGCATCAGACCTACTAGAACAAGCTAGTCAGGTCCAACTCACACCCACCCACACCCACTCATGTACGTATTTATCTAACCTATTTTTAAAACTACAGAATGTTTTAGCGTCTATGATGGTACTCGGGAGTTTGTTTCACTCATCCACAACTCTGTTACCAAACCAGAGCTTTCCTATATTCCTGAATCTGAATTTTTCCAGCTTGAAATTATTGCTGCGAGTCCTGTCTTGACTGGATATTTTTAGCATGCTATTTACATCCCTTTTATTTATTCCTTTTTTCCATTTATACACCTCAATCAATATCCCCCCTAATTCTATGCCTTTCTAGAAAGTGCAGATTCAGGGCCCTCAGTCTACCCTCAGTGGGAAGATTTCTAATACATGAGATCAACTTTGTCATCCTCCTTTCCACGTTTTCCAGTGCATTTATATCCATTCTGTAATACAGTGACCAAAACTGTGCAGCATAATCTTAATGAGGCCTAACCAAAGATATACAGTATAGAGTTGAACAATCTGAGGACTTCTATTATTTATCCTTCTTGATATGAAGCCAAGGATTTTGTTCACTTTATTGCAAACACTTATGCACTGGTGTCTTGGTTTCAGATTACAGCTAACCAGAACTCCTAAATCCTTTTCGCAATCGGTAATAAAGGTTGACCATCACTAATTCGGCATCATTGGGACCTGTAGGGTGCTGGATTAATGATTTTTGCCAGATTACAGAGTGGTTAGGTTAGAATACACTTCTATTCTCTTGACTGAGTACAAGAAACTGCCCATTTACCTATTTCAACTACCCAATAAAGTGGTCAGAAATCGGTAATTTAGCCAATTTCACACAAATTTCAAGAGATGCCAATTTCAAAATAGGGTCTAGAATAAACAATGCAGACATTCCTGGCACTAAAATAACATTTTCTCTGTTCATTAATCACATCTCCAGGCCCCTCTTATATTACACTTGCTTTCCATTTTGAATTTTTCTTCACACAAAAAATAGATTTACCATTATACAGACTACTGCATTATTGAAATAATTTTATAAATAATGTCAGCCCATTTGTGACTGTGTATTAGACCAGCCAGTTGGACACACATTAGACAGTGATGTCATTTGTTTACTCATGAACATCGGCAAAAATTGAACATTTCTGCTATTTTGAGTTCAGTTTCAAGGTACTTTCTGTCGTGAAACCAATCAAAATCATATCTATTTCTGTAATATATCTTTCATTTTATTTTTTATTTTTTTTATTTTTATTTTTATTTAGAAATTTAAGCATACATACAGAGGTACAAAAAAAATACAGGTAAGAGCAGCATGCCAAAGCCACTTATATGCATAGCATTACGGGCTGGCTTAAAATTAACTTAAGAAACTAACAATGATGAATCATGATAAGAAATTATTGAAAAGAAAACAATAAAGCCAAATGATATTACAAAGACAGTCAAGGTTGCTGCATTCTGTTTCATTCAGTAGAAGGAGTTTTCTGTTGGTATGTTTTAAAAAAAAACAAAGTTAGATGGGGTCCTTTTTTAACTTTTTATTGAAAAAAATTGTGAAACATTTTTGGAAAAAATTTTAAAATAAGGTTCAGTTTTCGTTTTTTTTTGGTTTTTTGAGTGAGTAAGTGAACTTTGAAGAGACTGAATTTGTAAACAGGTATGTTTTTTTTATATTTACAGAAAATGAATTTCCAGATTTTAGGCCTTTTTTGATTGGTTTTTTGGCATAGCGGAATGGACACGGGGAAACACAAAGGTGTCTGGCCCTTGGGTTTGGTCTGGTTTGTCGAGTTGGAAAGGAGATGTTTTGGGGGGGTTTTAATTAATTTAAAGTTTTTCATTAGAATAGGGTGAAAATAAAAAGTAGGAGTTTTGTATGGGAGTGGGTTATTTTTAAATTTGGGGAGTTTTTTTTTTGCCAGTAAAATTTTGTTATCATCAAACGCGCCTTTTTTTGGGGAATTAGTGGTCGGGAAGGGTTTAATTGTTGTTGACCCCAGAAAAAAAATTTCCATAGGTGAGTAGGGGTAAATAAGAGGTGAAAAAGGGGCCGGAGGGCTGACTGTGGAACATAGTCCCCATATCTTCGATAGATCCTACAGTTTTGAAATTTTCTTAAAATTTTTGTCAGTGAGAAATTTGAGTTTTTATCGGGGTGGATTCCAAGAATTTTCCCCTGTTAGCTTTGGGATAGGGATCCGTTTATCGTTGTAAGAGGACATCTGTAGCTCGTTACCAAACTAAATGAAGTAGGTTTTTTAATGTTTATGAAGTTTGTTAGCCTCATCCAGGTAAAAATTTTTTTCTTTGAAATTTCGTGTTACAGTTTTGGCTACGTGCTGGGCTGGGGAAAGGAAGACATGAGCTCTGAAAAAAGGGGGGTTTGAGAAGCAAGCATTTGGGGTCGTTTATGTATGGGAAAAGAGAAGGGGGCCAAGACATTTCCCGGGGGACACCAACTGAAATTTGGGGTTGTGCAAGATTTGCCCCATTTGCGTACAAAATTTTGGGGTTTCTGCGGGGTAGACTTGGGGAGTGGGGGATGCCCTCTAATCCATAGTGTGCAATTTTTACGTGGAGCAAGCATGGTCAACTGAAAACAAAAGCTTTGCGTAAGTCAATGAAGACCCCAGTGGGACTTCTTTTTTCTCTATTCTTGTATTATTTTCTAGCAGTGTTAATAGCATCATTATTTTTAATTAGATGAATCCAAATTGGCGGGTGAGAATGTTTTTGGGAAGATGGAGTAGATTCGTTTATAAATTTAATTTTTTCGAAGATTTTTGAGAGAGGGTGAAATTTGGATTTTGGGCCTAATTATTCAACTCGTTTGGGCTCCCCTTATGGATCGGGGTGACCTTGCATTTTGAGAACTGTAGGAGGGGGAGGATTAATGGATTTGTTAAAGAGTGGCAATGTTTGTGATAGTACTTGGATGCTTTTTGTATAAAAAAGGGGAAGGGATTTAAATCTCCCCCTTTTTTTTCAGTGCAAACCATAAAAACCCTATGTAAATCCCGCAAAGTCCTCTTTTTCACCAAAAACAAAGGCCCCCAAATTTTTTTCTCATGCACTGCATGCTCAGGATTTTTTTATGCAGTGCACATTTACCACACAACCATTCTCCATAGTAGGCCCAAATTTTCTGGGCACAGGGTTTTCTGAGTAGCTGAGCTCATGGGGACCGACAGTGGCTTCAAAGCCACCTTACTTTTTTGGACAATATATGGGGTATGTCTTAACACAATGAGAAGCATTTTTTTAATTTTTTTGGAACCCTGGGTAGGGCTATAATGGCAGGGGAAGCAATAAATGAAAAAAAAAGAAAATTGGGAATGCTTTTCCCGGGAAGTAGCGCCACCCAAAGCAGGAGGTTTGGTGTGGTGGCCCCTGAAAATTTTAAATTTTTGCAGCCAAAAATTTTGTGCCAATTACTGTGAAACTGGATTACTGATTGCCAGATTGTGGGCCGACCGTTTAAGCTTACATTATTTTGTTTTTAAAGTGGCATGGGGTTTTTTTTCCTGCCAACATTTAGAAATTTTCATTTGTCTATACTAAACTGCATTTTCCACATCTCCGACCACTGCATCAGCTTTCAAATTTTTCCCGGGGTGCTGTAATTCCCCATTAGAAGAATTGGACAGCCTATTTTGTGTCATCACAAATTTTCTTATGCGCTATTTATTCCCTCTATTATGTATTTATGTAAATTGTAACAACAAAGGGCCCCCAAAACTGACCCCTGTGGAACACTGTTGTGACGTCCCCCACTCATTTCTTTTCCCCTTTTTGCAAAATCGCTGCCCATTTGTCAAACCCTGCCTTTCCCCTGAAAAAATTCTCCTCCTATTTTTTTTATTTATTTTTATTTTTT